TACCCTCAAGTTTTAATGGTACTGCATGAATATAGAGAGGGATGGAGAGAGAGATGGGTAGATAGGGAAAGATGGAGAGAGGGGGGGACAAGTAGAGAGGGATGGATAGAGAGAGAGGGAGGAGGAGGGAAAGGTAAAGTGAGAAGGAGAAAAAAGGAAGAGGGAGAAGGAGACAGAAAGTGAGAGGGAACAAGAGAGAGAGAGAGAGAGAGAGAGAGAGAGAGAGAGAGAGAGAGAAGGGAGTGAGAGGGATAGGGAGCTGGCTAGTGTTTTGTCAACTTGACACAAACCACAGTAGTTTGGGAAGAGAAAACCCAATTAAGAAAATGCACCCATCAGATTGGCCTGTGGGTAAAGCTCTGAGTCATTTTCTTGATTATTGATGGATGTGGATGGCCATAGCCCACTGTGAGAATGATAGTTCTGGGTTGTATAAGAAAGAAGACTGGGAAAACCATAAGAGCAAGACAGTAAGAGTCTCCACAGTCTCTGTTTCAGTTCCTGCCTCCAGGCTCCTGTCTTGAGTTCCTACCCTGACTTCCCTCAGTGATAGTGTTTCCTGGAAGTCTAAGATGAAATAAAACTCTTTCTTCCCACATTACTTTTGCTCATGATGTTTTATCACAGCAATAGAAAACCCAGTTAATATAGAAAAAAATGATGAAATCAGTTCTCTTAACATTTTAACTGTGCAGTTCTGTTTTATTGACTGTGGTATTATGTTGTCTTAGACTTATTCTTACTGATTGACTAACATTTTTGTCTATTGATAGATACCTTCCCCACTTTTTTCCTTCTGGTAGACAGCGTTCTAAACTTTGCTTTTATGAATTTGACTTCTTTAACTATTTTATTGTTTTGAGACAGACTCTTGCTATATAGCTCAGACTGGTTTAGAACTCACTATGTAGTGAAGATTGGCCTTGCACTCATGGTAATCTTCTGCTCATCCTCCTAAGTGCAGAAATTGTAGGCATGGATCAGAATGTGAAGCTTGAATATGACTACTTAATATACCTCATGTGAGGGAACAATGCAGTGCGTTCCCTTCTGAGGTTGTTTACTGGGTCAAGTTGTTTCTTGAGGGTCCAGTCATATGATTTTTTTCTCATGCCATCATCATTATAATCTCCATTCCACTGTACATATATATATATGTATATATATATGTATATATATACATATATATGTATATATGTATATATATATGTATATATATGTATGTATATATATACATATATATGTATATATATATATATGCACACGGAGGCATATATCTATATAGATATAGATATGGAGGCTTCTTTTCATGTAGAAGAAAAGTAACCATTATTTTGCCCCAACCAAAGCCTTTTATACCTCTACTGCTTCTGTGGAAAACCTCAGGCCAGAAAGAACAAAAACATTCTTATCAATTACAGACCACAAGGAAGTTCTGCTGTCAGTCAGGGGGAGTGAGGGCAGCTAGATCACAACAATTCCCCGTTTTATTTTATTTTTTTTTAAATATTTATTTTTTATTAAGTATACAATATTCTGTCTGCATATATGCCTGTAGGCCAGAAGAGGGCACCAGATCTCATTATAGATGGTCGTGAGCCACCATGTGGTTGCCGGGAATTGAACTCAGGACCTTCGGAAGAACAGGCAATGCTCTCAACCGCTGAGCCATCTCACCGCCCCCCCCCCCCCCGTTTTATTTTATAAAATAATAGTTGCCTGTCTTATTACTTTGGTTGGAATACCTTGCCTGTCATTGGGAATAGCCCTCTAATATTGCATGTCTTAGGTGGCATCCTGCCCCCAAAATATTGCCTGTCCATGGCTACCCAAACACATAGCCCTAAACCAAGTATTTCCAGGCCGGACAGCGCCAATGAGCCAGACTGGCACTGCAACCATCCAGCATGCACTAACTGAGTTGTAAAATATTTCAAACCCCTCTCATAACAGTAGCAGAAGCATGCAATACAGTGCCATGAGTATCACTTAACATGATAAACTGTTGGAAAGTCCAAAGATACTTGCTCCTGAACCAGAGCCACTTGTTGGTTCAATGTCAATATGGCCAACTGAATATGTCACTTTGAATATCCAAAGCATTGTTGACTCTTCAGCTAGCTAGCTGACAGTCTCAGCCATCTGCACAGTCTGGAAAAGAGCAACTCAGGCAGGAATATCTGTGATAGCAGAGATATCAATAATGGCAATCACAGCTGCGGTGATTCCAAGGTCTCTCTTCTGCATATCTACTATGGTCCAACAATTCTTGCCATATTTCCTGATACTCTTGACACGGCTGCAGTTTCCCCCAGGCCAGACACTGACTGGGTCATGGTAACATGCCTTTTGCTGTAGCCACCTATCAAAGCTCTGCTCCAGCTGCCTTCTGGCCCCAGATGCACTCACTCTGGGTCGAAACTGCTGCATGGAGTAGAGCAGAACTCAGGGAACCATTGAAGGGGCACCACTTTAACAATCTTTTAGGGAATTTGGGCATCATCAACCTGTCTGGCTACTTCCTGCTGAGCTGGGGTGCTGCATTCTTGGGAGTATTTTACATCAACATTTCAGGGGGTCTCAGTGATTCAAACCACATAAATTTGCAATGAATCCACAGGTTCTCATCCTCTGTGGAGACAAAAGCAGAACCTCTTTTCCAAAGCATCAAATCCTTAGGCCCATATTTTAAAGTCAAAATACCTTTCTTAGTGTTGGGTCCCTAGAGGACAGGCCTTCGCACGCCCACTTGATCTGTTTTGCACTCTTGAGGTTGGTTGAAAACAGGAACAAAAACAGGAACAATCTGTTGTTTTCAGCAATGTTTCTAAGGATGTTTACCCCTAAGCCATTGAGTTGCGGTGATGAGCTTCCTGCTATGGCTGTTTGGCCTCCCCAGCCGAGGGCTATATATATTTGTGAGAAAGTGGAATAAAGGGTTTGTCTGCAGAACCTGAAGTTGTGCTGTGTGTTAATCCCGACATCCCTCGCTCAGAAGAACGACAGTTACTGTGCTGGTGCGGCACTTAGCAGTTCCCGGAATCAAATGCCTTTCTCCAGTCCAGAACAAAAAGACAACAAAATCAGCACAATAACATACATCTGTACACATTGTTTTTGAGGCCCTCAATTCACCCTCCTACCTCCTCTATATTACTTCCATACTGGCCAATATTTCAGAGGGCATCGCTCAGAGCATCTCTGGGGATGAAGACACACATACTCCTTTTAATCTGACTTGGCTTGTTCCCAGTCTGGAACATTTAAATTCCCTCGTATACAAAATCTTCAGCTGTCTTCCTTGTTACTTTCAAGCCTTGTTGCTTTAAGAGTTTCAGGTACATTTTGAGGCCTTCCAACACACCTTCCTGACTCTTCTTTATACTTGTTTGGAGAGTGTCCCTCAGAGTATCTCTGAGGATGAAAAAAAAAAAACACATTACCTTCCCCAATACGCTCCTCAATTTAGCCGGCTGACAGAGCGACCTCATTCATGAATCCCCACTTTCCAGATCTTGGTGGAACCTCCACTTGCCACGCCAGCACACATTGGATAGCTGAGACTGGTGGGGAGGGGTGCTGGGATTAAGACAAGGAGGCTTCTTTTCAGGTGGAAGAACAGCAACCTTTATTTTGCACCAACCAAAGCTTTTTATATCTCTACTGCTTCTGTAGAAAACCTCAGTCCAGAAAGAACACAAACATTCTTGTCAATTACAGACCACAAGGAAGTTCTGCTTTTGGTAAGGGGGAGTGAGGGAAGCTAGATCACAACAATTTCCCAGCCATTCTTTGGACTATTTCTCCATCGTAGCTCTTGTGAATAGTGTTGCAATGATTCCATAAGTGCTGACAGCTCACTTCCATACTTCTTTCATTCCCTTACTTGGGTTCTATTTTTAATTTCTTATTTTATGATATCTTCATGCTATTTCCACAGAGGAAGAGCTTTCTTCCCTCTGATTTACACATTTTGTTCCACCAGTGGCATGGAAGGAGGGCCTTAGGTCCCCGAAAATTATTCTGACTCATTCGCTCAGAGGCAGCTTTTCTCATAACAGTTGGGGCCCTGGGTTCCTGTTAAGAGCGTGAAAAAGATCCAATTTCTCTACTCCTGGCAACATTTGTTATCTTTTAAAAATATCATCTGAGGCCAGAGAAATGGTTCAGTGTTTAAGAGCACTAGCTGCTCTTCCAGAGGACCCAGGTTCAATTCCCAAAATCCAACTGATAAGTCACAACTGTTTGCAAATCCAATACCAGAGGAAGCAGCACCCTCACACAGATACATCGACAGGTGAGACACCAATGCACATAAAATAAAAATAAATCTTAAAAATATCATCTGGGTCAATGAGATTGCCCAGTGGGTAAAAATGCTTGCTCCCAAACCTGAAAACCCAAGTTTCATCCCCAAGACCTATATAGTAGGATGAAAGAACCAACTTTGCCAAGTTGTCCTCTGACTGCTACACACACTGTGAAACACACACACACACACACACACACACACACACACTCACACACACACACCAATATTATTTAATACTAAAGGCCATTATTTGTAGCAGGGCATATTTAATGTGTCAAGTATCTGTTTAAGCTCTTCCAAAGACCATAACATCTAACATTCAGGGAAGGCTTTATGATTTCCATTTTAAACATTAGGAAATGCCTATCCCAAAGATCAAGGGTCATTTATTTCTACAATAAGGACTGATGTGTAAATCTTATACTTCTGTGTCTCACATATTTATAACAAGACAAATATGTTGAGGAATGAATTCAATTGCACCCAAACTCAGAGGCCTGCTGTATTTTTCAGAATCGGAACCCTTCTCAAAGAGGCAGTGACTGAAGGAAAGAGTGGAAAGCCCAGAGGACAAACCTCTTCCTCTTCATGTGAGGAAACTAATAGAGAAACCTTGTAATGAGCCCCAGCCCATACATCCTGCCTCTTGTGTCCACTGCAGGGCTTCAGTTTCAGACCGGGTCAGACTGCTGAAGCTTGAGTCATGTCACTTCATTCTGCCACGGTGGTGGCCCTCGGTGAGTCCGGGACAACTGGAGGGATGGGGTAGGTGATTTGGGGAACGGAGTGTATTTCCCACTCAGGCCTTAATCCAGCCAGATTCTGGAGCCCTCTGGGAGGAGACTCTCTCCACTCTGACCCCTACTTGGGGTTTTCACCACAGACTTATTGCTAGAAATAGAGATGGGGCACGTGGCCTAGTTCAGCTTTTAAATGAGTGAAAAAGAGCCTGTTTGGAAGGGAAGATGATCTGAGAACATTTTTGCCCCAGTGTTGGAGGTTGAGCTCAGAGCCTAATATGTTAGGTAGGCACAATACCACAGAATTGTATCTCCTAAATCCAAATACTCTTTTTATTTTTTAAGATCACAGATGTTACACGCTATTGAGTACGCTTGTTCAGAAATTCTTTTATTCTTTTTAAATAGTGTGTTCTTTTATTATTATTATTATTGAAAAAATTTCTGACTCCTCCCCTCCTCCCATTTCCCTCCGCCTCCCTCTACTCCTCTCCCCTCTCCCCCCACTCCTTTCTCTCTCCCTCTCCAGTCCAAAGAGCAGTCAGGGTTCCCTGCCCTGTGGGAAGTCCAAGGCCCTCCACCCTCCATCCAGGTCTAGGAAGGTGAGCATCCAAACAGGCTAGGCTCCCACAGAGCCAGTACATGCAGTAGGATCAAAACCCAGTGCCATTGTCCTTGGCTTCTCATCAGCCCTCATTTTTCGCCATGTTCAGAGAGTCCAGTTTTATCCCAGGGTTTTTCAGTTCCAGTCCAGCTGACCTTGGTGAGCTCCCAATAGATCAGCCCCACTGTCTCAGTGGGTGGGTGCACCCCTCATGGTCCTGACTTCCTTGCTCATGTTCTCCCTCCTTCTGCTCCTCATTTGGACCTTGGGAGCTCCAATGTGGGTCTCTGTCTCTATCTCCATCTGTCGCCAGATGAAGGTTCTATGGTGATATGCAAGATATTCATCAGTATGGCTATAGGATAGGGTCATTTCAGGTTCCCTCTCCTCAGCTGCCCAAGGAACTAACTGGGGACATCTCCCAGGACACCTGGGAGCCCCTCTAGAGTCAGGTCTCTTGCCAACCATAAGATGGCTCCCTTAATTAGGATATATACTTCCCTGTTCCCATATCCACCCTTCCTTTATCCCAACCATCCCATTCCCCCAAGCTCCCACCCATCCTCCCCTTCTCACTTGTCTCTCCCCATCTCCCCTTACCCCCATCCCACCCCGCCCCCAAATTGCCAATTTTTGCCCAGCAATCTTGTCTACTTTCAATATCCAGGAGGATAACTATGTTTTTCTCTGGGTTCACTTTCTTATTTAGCTTTTCTAGGATCACAAATTATAGGCTCAATGTCCTTTATTTATGGCTAGAAACCAGTTATGAGTGAGTAGATCCCATGTTCATCTTTTTGGGTCTGGGTTACCTCACTCAGGATAGTGTTTTCTATTTCCATCCATTTGCATGCAAAATTCAAGATGTCATTGTTTTGTACCGCTGAGTAGTACTCTAATATGTATATATTCCACACTTTCTTCATTCATTCTTCTACTGAAGGGCATCAACTTATATTTGTCTTTTGTGAGTTCCTGAGAGTTTCTTACTTGACTCATACTGAACGCTTCCAAGATTGACCCCTCTTCCCGACCCACTTAACTTTTTGTCCCTCTCTTACTGTGTAGCTCTGGCTGTTCTAGAACTCACTGTGGAGTACAGCCTAAATCAGGAACTCACAGAGATTCACCTGCCTCTGCCTTTCAAATGCTAACGGAGTGTTCCATAATGCCTGATTCCAGGAGCTACACTCTTAAAGAAAATTGACTCTCCCTCTTCCAGCAGCCAGGATTCCCATCAGCTCCAAGGCTAAAACAAGGAGAATTGGCCTAAATTTCCTTTCATTTATGGGATTTTGTCTGGCTTGGTTTTACACAGGTCTTGTGCACGCTATGAGTTAATATGTGCAGCTGCCCTCTGTGTTCAGGACACCCTGTAGTCACTCGAGTCATCTCCTGCTTCTGGCTTTTGTGCTTTATTGCACCACCTCTTCCTAAATGACCTCTGAGTCTTGGAGGAGGAGATGTATGGTTTGTAAGCTCCTTTTAAGGTTGAGCATTCTGCAAACTTAGTCTCTACCCCTTGTTTAGTTATGTGTCTCCATGTTTGTTGTAATAGGAGCGATGGGGCTGCATCCCCAGCACCCAGGCCACCTGGCTAGCTTATGCCCCGAAATAACAACACACAAATTGTATTCTTTTAAACACTGCCTGGCCCATTAGTTTCAGCCTCTTAACCCATTTCTAATAATCTATGTAGCACCTCAAGGTGCACTTACCAGGAAAATTCTAGCCTATGTCCATCCTGGGTCAGAGTTCATTGCATCTGCCTCAGAGAGCCGAGCTATTGCGTCTGCCCAGGAGAGGGGGGCATGGTGTCTCTGAACTCACTTCCTCTTCCTCCCAGCATTCTGTTCTGTTTACTCAACCCACCTATGTTCTAACCAATAAAATGGGCCAAGGCAGTTTCTTTATATTTTAACCAATGACCTTCCTCCATTACATGTTAATATCAATCAATTGCAAATGAAAGTTTCTCAGATGAGGGGTGCAGGATGCATTTATCCATGGGCATAATGAGGAATATATTTTTGCTATTACATATATTTAAAATACCTTTTTGAGAATTTCATAGGTGCATACAATATGTTTTGATCATATTAATCCCCTTTTTTGCCTGTAATACCACACCAATTCCCTCCCCTCCTCTACTTTGTGTCTACTTTTTACAAACAATAATCCAGTTAATATCATTTGTGCTGCTCATATACTCAAGAGCATGGGGATATCTACTGGACCCTGGTCACACCCTTAGAGAAAATTGACTCTTCCTTCCCCGGAAGCCACCAACTTTCAATAGCTTCTCAGCTAAGAGTGGAGACCTTATGAAACTTTCTCCCATACAATTCAGCCCTCATTTTACTTTTTCTCATTGTTTCATTTTATTTATGGGCCTTTCATACAGTACACCCTGACAGAAGTTTCTTTTTTCAATCACTCTCAATTCTCCTACCTACCCGTCTTCCCCAGATCTTCTGCTCCTTTAGTGTCCCTTCAGAAAAGTGCAGTTCTCACAGGGATATCAACCAAATATGGCACAACAAGATGCAATAAGACTAGGAGCAAACCCTCATATCAAGACTTGTCAAGACAACCTAGTAGGATTAAAGAGTCCTAAGGGCAGGCAAAAGAGTCAGATGCACATCAGCTCCTAATATTAGGAGTTTCACAAAAACCCCAAGATAAGCAACTGTAATGTATATACAGTGGGCCTATTCAGACCCATCCAGGTTCTGAGGCTTCTGCTTCAGTCTCTGTGAGGCCCTATGAGCCCTGCTTAGTTGATTCTGTGGGCCATATTCTCTTGGTGTCCTCAACCCTTCAGGCTCCTGAAATCCTTCTTCTCCTTGGGGGTTCTCTGAGCTCCACCTAGTGTTTGACTGTGGGTCTCTATATTTGCTCCTTTCATCTGCCAGAGGAAGTAAACAACTGGGCTAGGCTCTGAACTAAACCCATTTTATTTTTGGTTTTGAGACACTATCTCACTAAGATTTTCAGGCTGACTTTGAACTCACTTTGTGGCCCAAGTAATACTTGAATATGTAACTCAGTTGAGTAGCTGGGATGCCAAGTCTCTTTCTCTACCTTAAGGATATTTAAGAGTTCTTTCACAAGAAGAAGGAGGACTATACTCTGACATTAATGTTGTAGGAGGCTGCTTGTTCATTTCCCAGCTGCTCATACTCTTCAAATAACCACACAAAAACTACATTAGTTAAATCACTGCTTGGCCAATCACTACAACATATTCCTAGCAAGCTCTTACATATTAAATTAACCCATTTCTATTATTTTATATTTTACCATGAGGCTTATGGCCTAACAGTAAGGTTCCAGCTAGCAGCTCATATCATTCCCTTATGGTGGCTACATGGCATCTCCTGTCTCTGCCTTATTTCTCCCCACATTAAGTTTAGTTTCCCCCACCTATCTCTATTCTTCCCTGTACAGGCCCCAAATAGTTTCTTTATTAACCAGTGGTATTCACAGCATACAGAGGGGAATTCCACATCACCTCTCCTGTTTTGTTTAAATAAAACGGAAGGTTTTAATTTTAACATAGTAAAATTACATGTACAAAACAGGTATCAAGCAAGATTATATCTACTTTACCTTTTATAATAACCAAGGAAAGCTATAATTATAACTATCTATTCTTCAACTTCATCAAAGACAACAGAAGAATAACAGGAAGTGCATTGTAAGCAACTTCCAAAACTCTAGAATTGACAGAGACGTCTTGCTGCCTAGACAGTCACACAAAGTTCTTTTGTATCATTGGGGCATCCAACCTTCAGCCTACAGGCCCATAGTGTCTAGCAGACTTTTCCTTTAAGCAGGAAATTTCAAAGACAGTTCTGCCTATATTGGCAGTTTGTCAACCACTTTCTTCAGTGTCCTGCAGAATGCCTTGCAGACTCTTTTATAAAGCAGAAACCCTGAAAGACAATCTCACCTTTAGGCAAGTTCAGCAGTCATTTCTTTGTGGGTCCTGCAAGCCCAGTTAATACAGCATAACATCAATCAGTCCAGGCAAGTGCAGTTTCTTGCCCAAATGGCTAACCAAATTTATAAGGAGCTTCTTTGATGCCCATCAACCTCTTGAAGTAAATGGTGCTGCCAGGAGCAGATGTGTTTCATTGTCATGAAAAGTCTCAGTTATTAAAACATTTTAAATGCCATATTCTGTAGCTCTTTGAAGTTGTTCAAAAATACCTGTCTATCTGAAATATATCTCTGTACATCTAGAAAACCTAGCTAACATGTCTATAAACTTGATTATTATAGATGACTCTCTATGAACCTATGTTTCTTAATTATACATTACATTTTAAAATGAGCTGTACAGACACAATACCTTAATTAAGAGCAGAAATATAGATATAACAAAATTGACCTTAAATTTTTATCAATTGATCAAGATCCATACCAAAGCAAATTATTCATATCTATAGCATATCCCCCTTTAAATGTAAACAAACATTTATAAACAGTATTCAGGAATTTGGGCATATTTTTCTCCAAACTGCTTCCTGCTTTTTGTTGGATGAAGTATTTTGGGGGTGTTAATGGCAACCTTTCAGGGCCTCTTGGTCCATTCAACCTCATTAGGCTGGAATTGATCCACAGGTTCTTACCTTCTATAAAAACAAAAGCAGAACCTCTTTTTCAAAGCAACAAATCTTTAGACCCAAATTCTGAAGTCAGGATACATTTAAAATATATATGTTGGCTTAGTTTATCAGTCCATACAATGAAATATCTCTCTGTATGTAGCTGTTTCACAATAAAAAAAAGTAAAGGAAAAACAATAATATACATAATTCAGACTTTCTATGTGTATTCCATCTTTACATGACTCATTTTTCTTATTCTATTACTTTTTTGACAAGTTTAATCTGTCTCTTTAAAGACTGTGTTTTATTTTAAAAAAAAACATTTACTTTTTTATAACTCTATTTTTTTCTTCTTTCTTCCAAGTCTACATACATTTTTAAACACAATGTACCCATTTACAGGTGTTTTCATCTGAATCTGTCTTTATTGTGTATATATAATTATTTTCTGACCAGATCTTCTTCTTTTGAAATGCTAAGTGGGCATGGGTTGGATCAATATGACCCTGCCTGCTTGCTCTGCCTAGTTCAACATGGCAGAGACATGTTTGCTGCCTCTGAGAGCCATGCTCACAGCCCCATTTTTAGGTACACAGCAGGTCTATGTTACCATTAAGCCAGTTGTAGCACTCTGCTCACAGACCCCATTGAAATGCGTCATAGCTGGACCTCCTGAAAGAGTCAGAGCCATTAGTGCTGGTGAACCAGGAAACTGCTGTTTTGAAACTGAGGGTGTTTTTTTGCTACTGCTGAATCAGGAAAACCTCTCTTAAAGGAATCATGCCTCTGCTTGCTTTTAGCCATCAGAACAAGAAGTTGCATGAAACTCTGTTTGTGTGTGTGTGTGTGTGTGTGTGTGTGTGTGTGTGTCTAGGAGTCCTTTTGAAGCTTTCCCAGGTTTTATGAGTACATATTCAACAATGTTGGTGTGTCAATTTGTTATAGGAGGCTGCTTGTTCATTTCTCAGCCACCCAGACTCCTGAAATAACCATACAGATACTGTATTAATTAAATTACTACTTGGCCAATCATTATAGCATATTCCTAGCAAGCTCTAAAATATTAAATTAAACCATCTCTATTGTTTTATATTTCACCATGAGGTTTGTGGCCTACTGGAAAGTTTCCAGGTGACAGCTCATACCTTTCCCCTCTGGTGGCTACATGGCATCTCCTGACTCCACCTTCCTTCTCCCAGCATTGAGTTTTAGTTTTCTCTGCCTATCTCTACTCTGTTCTGTGCAGACGCAAAACAGTTTCTTTATTAACAGCAATTGTATTCACAGCATACAGAGGGTAATCCCACATCACATAAATATAGAAGAGGAATTACTGGGTAATCATGAGAGGCTGGATGTCCCCACCAATATCTAGTCATTCCTAGATTCTCGTTGCTAAAGAAGCCATGTTGTGAGGATCTTTCTTAATGGGTTTTCTCTTTTAGTGCTGTGCCTGGGATGGACAATTAATACTCAGCAAGGTGAGTCATGTCTTCAGTTCGGCTTTGGAGAGGATCATGTGCACCTGGGAGACCTGGGGGGAGATCCTTGAATATCCCCTGTAATCATAAACACTCCCAAATATGCAGACTTCACCTCTCCCTTTTGCCACATATCTTTCTTTGTTTTCTTGGTTAAAAGTGTTTTTAATTTACAATTAAAAATGGAATATATTTATGGGATGCAATCTCCTGTTTTGATGTGTGTTTATATTATACTATGACTAAGTTAGGCTAAGTTTCAAGTCCTTCAACTTTGAAAATCATCATCTTTATTGTGAAAAAGTTATATATCTACCATTATAGGAATTTTTATTGATATTTTTTACTTCCCCCTCCTCCCACTTACCTCCCCTCCCCCCAATCTCCCTCCCCGTCCCTCTCCAGGCCAAGGAGCAGTCAGTGTTCTCTAACTTATGGGAAGTCCAAGGTCCTTCCCACCCCCCCCCCAGGTCCAGGAAAGTGAGCATCCAAACAGGCTAGGCTCCCACCATGCCTGTCAATGCAGTCGAATCAAAACCCAGTGCCATTGTTCTTGGCTTCTCAGTCAGCCTCCACTGTCAGCCACATTCAGAGAGTCTGGTTTGATTACATGCTCCATCAGTTCCAGTCCAACTGGCCTTGGTGATCTCCTATTAGATCAGTCCCCCCATCTCAGTGGGTGGACACGCCCCTCATGGTCTTGACTTCTTTGCTCATGTTCTCCCTCCTTCTGCTCCTCATTTGGACCTTGGGAGCTCAGTCCAGAGCTCCAATGTGGGTCTCTGTCTCTATCTGCATCCATCGCCAGATGAAGGCTTTATGGTGATATGCAAGATATTCATTAGTGTGGCTACAGGATAAGGCCAGTTCAGGCACCCTCTCTTCTGCTGCCCAAGGAACAATCTAGTGACATCTCCTTGGACACGTGGGGACCCTTTCAGGGTCAATTTTCTTGCCAACCTTAAAATGGCCCCCTTAATTAAGATATCTATTTCCCTGCTCCCACATCCACCCCTCCTCCATCCCAACAACCCATTCCCTCAAGCTCTCCACATCCTCCCCTTCTCCCTTCTCTCTCCCTATTTCCCCTTATCTCCACCCCACCCCCATGCTCCCAACCCTTGTCTGGCAATCTTGTCCACTTCCAATATCCGGGAGGATAACTATATGTTTTTCTTTGGGTTCACCTTCTTATATAGTTTCTCTAGGATCAAGAATTATAGGTTCAATGTCCTTTAATTATGGCTAGATCCACTTATGAGTGAGTACATACCATATTCAATTTTTTGTGTCTGGGTTATCTCAGTAAAGTATTTTCTATTTCCATCCATTTGCATGCAAAATTCAAGATGTCATTGTTTTTTTACTGCTGAGTGAACTCTAAAGTGTATATGTGCCACACCTTGTCTATCCATTCTTCTATTGAGGGGCACCTAGGTTGTTTCTAGGTTCTGACTATTACAAATCATGCTGCTATGAACATATTTGAACAAATGCTTTTGTAGTATGATTCGGCGCCTCTTGGATATATTCCCAAGAGAGGAATTGCTGGGTCCTGTGGTCGGTTGACTCCCAGTTTCCTGAGAAACTGCCAAACTAATTTCCAAAGTGGTTGCCCAAGTTTGCATTCCCACCAACAATGGTTGAGTGTTCCCCTTACTCCACATCCTCTCCAGCAAAGGCTACCATTGGTGTTTTTGATTTTAACCATTCTGACAGGTGTAAGATGGTATCTCAGAGCTGTTTTGATTTGCATTTCCCTGATTGCTAAGGATGTTGAGCATGACCTTAATTGTCTTTTGGCCATTTGAACATCTTCTGTTGAGAATTCTCCGTTCCGTTCAGTACCCCATTTTTAATTGGGTTAATTAGCATTTTTAAAGTCTAGTTTCTTGAGTTCTTTATATATTTTGGAGATCAGACCTTTGATGTGGGGCTGGTGAAGATCTTTTCCGAATCAGTAGGTTGCCTTTTTGTCTTAATGACAGTGTCCTTTGATTTACAGAAGATTCTCAGTTTCAGGAGATCCCATTTATTCACTTTTGCTCTTATTGTCTGTGTTGCTGGGGTTCTACGTAGGAAGTGGTCTCCTGTGCCCATGTGTTGTAGACTACTTCCTACTTTATCTTCTATCAGATTCAGTGTGGTCAGATTAATATTGAGGTCTTCAATCCATTTGGACTTGAGTTGTGCATGGTGATAGATATGGATCTATTTTAATTCTTCTACAGGTTGACATCCAGGTATGCCAGCACCATTTGTTAAAGATGCTTTCTTTCTTCCATTGTATAATTTTAGCTCCTTTGTCGAAAATCTGGTGTTCTTAGGTTTGTAGATTAATATCTGTGTCTTTGATTCGATTCTATCTGTCAACATCTCTGTGTTTGTGCCAATACCAAGCTCTTTTCATTACTGTATCTCTGTAATAGAGTTTGAAATCAGGAATGGTAATGCCTCTGGAGGTACTTTTATTGTATAGGATTGTTTTAGCTATCCTGGGTTTTTTGTTTTTCCATATAAAGGTGATTATTGTTCTCTCAAGGTCTGTGAAGAATTTTGTTGGGAATTGCATGAATCTATAGAATGCTTTTGGGAGAATTGCCATTTTAATATATTGGTCCTCCCAATCCAAGAGCATTTTCTGTTATCATCTTCAATTTCTTTCTTCAAAAACTTAAAGTTCTTGTCAAATTGATCTTTCACTTCCTTGGTTAGTGTAACCCCAAGATACTTTTTACTATTTGTGGCCATTGTGAAAGGTTGTGTTTCTCTGATTTCCCTCTCTGCTTCTTTGTACTTTGTGTATAGGAGGGCGACTGATTTTTTGGAGTTGATCTTGTATCCTGCCACATTACTGAAGATGTTTATCAGCTGTAGGAGTTCTTTGGTAGAGTTTTGGGGGTCGCTTATGTACACTATCATATCATCTGCAAATAATGAAAGTTTGACTTCTTCCTTTCCAATTCACATCCCCTTTCTTTCTTTATGTTGTCTTATTGCTATTGTTAGAACTTCAAGCACTATATTGAAGAGGTATGGAGAGAGTGGACAGCCTTGTCTTGTTCCTGATTTTAGTGGGACGGCTTTGAGTTTCTCTCCATTTAATTTAATGTTAGCTGTTGGCTTGCTGTATATTTCTTTTATTATATTCAGGAATGAACCTTGTATCCCTAATCTCTCTAAGACCTTTATCATAAAGGGGTGTTGAATTTTGTCAAATGCTTTTTCAGCATCTAATGAAATGATCGCATGGTTTTCTTCTTCAGTTTATTTATATGATGGGTTACATTGATTGATTTTTATATGTTGAACCAGCCCTGCCTCTATGGGATGAAGCCTAATTGATCATAATGTATAATTTTTTGGATGTGTTCTTGAATTCAGTTAGCAAGTATTTTATTGAGAATTTTTGCATCGATGTTCATGAGTGAGATTGGTCTGTAATTCTTTTTCTTGGTTAAGTCTTTGTGTGGTTTCGGTATCAGGATGATGGTAGCTTCATAAAAGGAGTTTGGCAATGACTCTTCTGTGTCTATTTTGTGAAACACATTAAGAAGTATAGGTATTCCTCTTGGAAGTTCTTCTAGAATTCTTCATTGAAACTATCTGGTCCAGGACTTTTTATGGTAGGGAGGTTTCTGATGACAGCCTCTAATTCCTTGTGGCTTACAGGTCTATGCAAGCTGTTCACCTGGTCTTGATTTAATTTTGGTGTATAATACTTACCTAAAAAAAAGTGTCCATTTCTTCCACATTTTCCAATTGTGTGGCATATAAGCTTTTGTAGTAATATCTAATGATTCTCTGAATTTCCTCTGTGTCTGTGGTTATGTCCCCCTTTTCATTTCTGATCTTGTTAATTTGCGTGTTCTCTCTCCTCCATTTGATTAGTTTGGAAAGGGGTTTGTCAATCTTGTTGATTTTCTTCAGGAACCAGCTTTTTGTTTCATTGATTCTTTAGATTGTTTTCTGTGTTTCTATTTTGTTGATTTCAGTGCTCAATTTGATTATTGAATCTGCTTCTTTTTTTCTAGAGCTTTCAGGTCTGCCATTAAGTCTCTAATGTGTGTTTTCCCCGTTTTCTTTATGTGGCTACTTAGTGCTATAAATTTTCCTATTAGCACTGCTTTCATAGTGTCCCATAGTTTGAGTATGATATGTCTTTATTTTCATTGAATTCAAGGAAGACTTTAATTTCCTTCTTTATTTCTTTCTTGACCCAGGGGTAGTTCAGTAGTTGACTGTTCAATTTTCATGAGTTTGTAGGCTTTCTGGGGGTAGAATTGTTGTTGAATTCTAACGTTATTTCATGGTGATCTGATAGCACACAGGTGGTTACTACAATTTCTTTGTATCTATGGATGTTTGCCCTGCTACCAATTATGTGATCAATTTTTGAGAAGGTTCCATTTGATGCTGAGAAGAAGGTATATTCTTTTCTGTTTGGGTGGAATGTTCTATAGATGTCTATTAAGTCCATTTGCTTCATTACATCTGATATTTCTCTTATTTCTCTGTTAAGTTTCTGTCTGGTTGTCCTGTCCATTTGTGAGAGTGTTGAAATCTCCTACTATCAGAGTGTGGGGTTTGAGGTTTGATGTGTGCTTTGAGTTCTAGTAATATTTTTTACATATGTGGGTGCTTTTATATTAGGGGCATAGATATTCAGGATAGAGACTTCCTCCTGATGAATTGTTCCTGTTATGAGTATAAAGTGTCGATCTCCATCTCTTCTGACTGATTTTAGTTCGAAATCAATTTTGTTAGATATTAGTATAGCCACACCCACTTGTTTCTTTCGATCATTTGATTGGAAAACCTTTTCCCAACCCTTTACTCTAAGGTAGTGTCTGTCTTTGAGTTTGAGGTATGTTTCTTATAAACAGCAGAATGTTAGATTCTGATTTCGTATCCATTCTCTTAACCTGGCCTTTTTATAGGTGAATTGAGTCCATTGATATTAAGTGATATTAATGACCAGTGGTTGTTAACTCTGGTTATTTTTCTGGTGGTAGAGTTTGTGTGTTTCCCTTCTTTGAGTTGTGCTGGTGAAGGGCTGTCAGATGCTTGTGTTATTATGGGTGTTGTTGGCTTCCTTGGTTTGTGATTTTCCTTTTAGTATTTTCTGTAAGGCTGGGTTTGTGGCAACATATTATTTAAATATGTTTTTTGTCCTGGAATATCTTGTTTTCTCCATTGATGGTGAATGCAAGCTTTGCTGGTTATAGTAGTCTGGGCTTGCATCCATGGCCTCTTAGTGTCTGCAGCACATCTACCCAAGACCTCTGGCTTTCATGGTCCCATTGAGAAGTTAGGTGTATTTCGGATAGGTTTACCTTTATATGTTACTTGACCTTTTTCCTTTGCAGCTCTTGATATTTGTTCTTTATTCTGTATGTTTTGTGTTTTAATTATGATATATCAAGGGGATGCTTGTTTTGATCCAGTCTATTGGGTATTCTGTATGCTTCTTGTACCTTCATAGGAATATCCTTCTTTACGTATGGAAAGGTTTCTTCTATAATTTTGTTGAATATATTTTCTAGGCCATTGGGCTGTAATTCTTCTCCTTCTTCTACCCCTATTATTTTTAGGTTTTGGTCTTTTCATGGTGTTCCAGATTTCCTGGATGTTTGGTATTAAGAATTTGTTGGATTTGTTTTGTTCTTTAATCAGTGAGTTTATTTTTCAATAGTATCTTCAATGACTGAGATTCTTTCTTCTATCTCTTGTATTCTGTTGGTAATACTTGTCTCTGTAGTTCCTGTTCATTTACCCAGATTTTCCATTTCCAGCCTTCCCTTGGTTTGTGTTTTCTTTATTACTGCCATTTCATTTTTCAAGTCTTGAACTGTTTCCCTTACCTGTTTGATTGCTTTTTCTTGTTTTTCTTGGGAATCTTTGAGCGATTTATTAATTTCCTCTACCTTTTTTGTCATCTACATTTCTTTATGGCAGTTTTTCACCTCCTGTTTAAGTTCCTCTATTATTTTCATAATGTTCCATTTAAAGTCGATTTCTTCTTTTTCTTCTGGAGTAGGATGTTCAATTATTCTTCTTGTTTCATGATCCCTGGATTCGGGTGAGGTCATGTTGCCTTTCAGGTTGTTGGAGGAATTCTTGCATTGGTGCCTGCCCATCTCTTCCTTCAAATGGAGCCAGGATAGTCTTGGTGTCTTGGTCCATTTTTTGCTGTGACTGACTCTCTGGGTGGATCTCCTCAGTGCAGGAGCAGGAACTGTTCTGTCTGGATGGAACTCCTCAGCACAGACACAGGGTCTCCTGTTAGTCCAAGGGCACTGCAGACAAAAGGCAAACGTGGGGGCAGTACGGGGTTGAGTGGAACACAGAAGACCCTGTAGCAGAAGCTGAAGGTGCCCTGCACTCCCTTGCAGGGACCTTCTGGCCTGCCTGGCCGGCAGACACTCACCCTTCTGGGTGGATAGCCTTAGTGCAGCAGCAAGAACTGTTCCTGGGCCAAGGACCTTGGAGACAATAGGGCAGGCTTGGGGGAGGCAGGGTCATGTGTAATAAAGAAACCCCTGCAGCAGGAGCTGGGGGGGCTGTGCTTTCTTCCGGGACAGTCCACCCCAGTATAGCATACACTTACCCATCTGGATGGAATAGGAATCCATTATATGAATTTTTAAAGAAATTCTCATAAATGGTATATCTTGAGAAATGTATTTCTCCTGTCTAAATGGAATTTTATATCTTTGATGAGCATCTTCTCTGTCTCCATCTACCCTATCCCTAGCCTTAGGTAACCAGTCATTCTTCTTTTATACTGTTTATCTCTGAGGTGAATGCTTTTGTATTCCATATATAAGTGAGGGTCTGTGGAATTTGTCATTCTGTGATGGCTTATTTCATTTTACACCCCCAAATTCATAATAGTTGCCATCAACAGCATCATTTCCTTTTTAAAGGATGACCACTATTCTAATATGTTTGGCAACACATTTTAGCTATTCATCTAGACTGACAGTACCATTGATTCTATCTCTTCTCTGCTTGGAATCATGCTGCGAAGAACATGGGGGTGATAAGCTGTCTGCAAAGACAATTTCATTCAGCATGACCAAGTCTACAGCTGAGATATTTCTCCCCATAATCCAGATCTCTCTTAGGATCCCCTAGGCAAGGCATTGACAGTACTCAAAGGCAGAACATGAGAATTCATACTTGATCTTCCTCTTTATCTTCCTATATATTATGTGTCACCAGGTCCTGTTGGTTCCTTCCACTAAATTTGTAAGTCTGCTATTTAATTTAATTAGTTTGTTTGTTTCGAGATAGATTCTCACTAGGTATCCATGACTGGCCTGGAGCTCACTCTGTAGACCAGGCTGGCATAGAACACATGGAGATACACCCACTTCTGCCTTCTAAGTGTTGGTATTAAATGCATGCAACACCACACCCAGCCTCAAGTCTTTCTTCCTTTCTGCATAAATGTCTGCTAACTTCTTTGATGAGGGCTGAGAGCCATATTTACTAGTCAGAGGCTAGAATAATGGATGAGCAAGTCAGGCTTTGTCTGTGGGTAGTATGTAGCTTGGGCTCGATAGTTTATTTTGACACAGAATCAGACCACAATGTTGGTGACTTTGACTTACCCCAGTAACATCCTGATCTCCTTTTCCTATCAGGCTCTCTTGTCTCTAGGTTCTTCAACATTCTTCCATTTTCATTAAACACCCACTAACTCCAGGCTGTCTTACAGGATAAATTTTAATTTAATTTTTAAAATGACAAAAATTTCATGTGTTTACTATGTCTGACTTCAAATTTTGAAATAAATTGGTACTGGAGAAGGACCAGATCAAGCCAATTAGCATGAGATTTTCCCCACACATGTATTTCCCTTTTCAAACAGCACTTAACTATCCTTGGCATATCCCACTTGAACTGCTTGAAATCTTGAACTATTCCTGAAGCACAGGGTCTGTGTCCTCTGAGTTTGTTCAATGTTTGATTTTCCATGTTCTTGTCTGCTGGGTGCAGGAAGTTTACTTCTGTCTCTTGGGTTTCAGTGCAAGTATCTCTTCTGTGTCACTTCAGGGAGTACACTTCTGATCTCACCTGTCTCTTGAGATTCCTATGCTCACCCCTTACATTCATCATAATCTTTCTGCCACCTTCTCAGACAATTATTCTCTCAAATCAGTCCTCCCTCCCATAATTTGCCTTCAAATGGAAGATACTGTGTTTCTTGTATGTGTGAAACCATAGAAACATAGAAGGCATCCCTAGAAGATGAGCAAGATATTAAAAATATATGAAGAATAAGCGAAGAAAGGAGATAGGATTAGGAACTGTTTGTCTAAGGGCACAAAATCTCATTACACATGGATAAGGGCAGGAAGTCAATTACTCAGCATGGCTAGCAACTATGCATTCATAAATTTGTCACAAAAGGTAAGTTTGTGAGTTTATCCATAATGATTAATTTGATCCAGTTATTCCACAAAATACAAGACATCACCTTGAACATGGTAAGTGTTAGCACTTTAAATTTGTCTCTTGACATAAGTATAATTATCTGTGGTTTTATGGGGATGCCCTTACATTCAGACAGTTTGAAGCAGGGGAGATTTTAAAGCCCCAATTACACCCTGGAAAGAAGGTGGAGATAAAGGCAGAAAAAGCACAGGTCCCTGGAATAAAGCAGTTCCCCGAAAGGCAGTGGACTCTGTAGCAGACAAGTCCAGTCTGTGACATTCTGAGATTTTTTTGGATGAATCATCGCTAGACCCACCACATGCTCAGACTTAGGTTCTTTAATGTCATGTGGTGGGCATTCATAGTGGGGATATTATAAAGCTTCACTATGATCATGGAGAACTCTAAATTTGGTAAGAGTACAAAATGGGGTGTGTCAGTTGGTTTTGTGTTATGATAATGTCCTCACTGTGTGCAGTGAGATTCCTGCTCGCTCTCTCTCTCTCCTAGAATCTCTGCTGAGTCCTTCCATTTCGGCTGATCCAGGCCTTGAGATTCCCCAAGGACATTCTGCAAAGTTTGTGTGCACAAGCCCTGTAGAATATGATACATTCTGCCTGGAGAAGGGAAGCACAACAATAATGAATAAGAAGAATGATTTGCCTTCTCAAAAACAGGCTATATTCCATCTTGGCCCAGTAAATGAAGACACTGCTGGATCTTATCAGTGTCTCTATGAAAAAGAATCTAAGTGGTCCCAACGCAGTAAGACTCTGGAGCTGAAAGTGACCAGTGAAGATGTCACCCACACTTCTGACCCAGTCCCAGGAGTGACCTCAGGTTTGTTTCTAGGTCTCTTGACTCTAACCCTAACTTCTCTCTCCTGCCTCAACTTCCCCTGCTGTTTCCTAATCCTAATGCTTCCTTTTATCACCCCCTTCAGCACAGATCTTGTCTTATCCTTAAACCCCAGATTTCAGGAGCTTTAGTCTAACCAAACACCATGAATGAATGGATACAGTCTTACGGGTAGACCACTGAGTTGTTCCTGATTACTGTTTACTGACTAAGCCCCATCAATTGTGGGAGTAGACTTCTCTCAAGGTGATACATGTTTTTTCACTGGGCATTGTGATTTATACTGGTTTCCTGCTGAGTTCAAGCCTGTGGTGACTGCAGGAATATATTTCTTCTGGAGTGGTACCATCTCACTAGGCAGGTAATGTGGTCCAGAGAAGGTTGGTGGACAGGCCTGGATTATTCTTTTGTGGGTTCTTTTATATGGAATAACCTGTGTGAGGTTGGGCCCCAAAATGTCTGAAGTCGGGATACAGAAAATGTTCTAGTCCATGACCATGTCTTCCCACATCTTACCAGGAGCTGCTCATTGCTTATTCTGTGAGGCCAAGCAGAGTGAGTGAGTTAGGAATAGAAGGAAGGACCAATATCTAACAGGATGATTTTGGAGGGGCTCTGCCATGTTTTCAGTTTTCCCTGTCCTGTCATTTCAGGTCTTTCCCATGGTCTGTGGCTGAGTGATGGAGCCAATCACCCCCTTTGTATCAATACTTACGATAGAGAAGGGGCTTACATAGCTCTCCTCATCAGCTCCCAATCCTTCACCCTGCCTCATTGCTGGTGTTGTAGTTTATTACAGGTGATATGCTGGGTTGATGTCTTGATTTTGGAACCAGCCATCAAGGTGTCATTAATAATATTTTTTCCTTGATTCCTTCCTTCCTTCCTTCCTTCCTTCTTTTTTACCCTCCTTCTTTTGTTTTTTTAGTTGTTTAATTTTGAGATAGGATCTCTATATATAACTCTGGAAGTCCTGAAACTTGTTACATAAACCAGGCTGGCCTTGGACTCAAAGAGCTCCTTCTGCCTTTGCCTCCTGAGTTCTGGGATTAAAGGCATACCCCCACCATGCCCAGAGACCCTACTATTTTAAATATGGAGAAAATAAACGTTCTTTGTCAATGATAGCAAGCTCTGAAGACTCCAGGAGAAAAGCATTTCCTGCAGCAAAGCCGTGCACCTCAGTTTTCCACGACTCCATGCTGCCCTCTTGTGGTTTGAGCCTCATTACATTTTTTAAATTTCTTTTTAATTTAGTTTAATTTTTAAAAGAAAAACTATCATTTTTCATTTTACATACCAATCCCATTTCTCACTCCATTCTCTCCACCTTTCCCCCACTCCCACCCCCATCCGCTTCTCAGAGAGTGTAAGGCACATTGCTTTGAGTAAGGACCAAGATCCTCCCTGCTATATTTGTGCTGAGCAAGGTATCCTTTCAAAGAAAATGGGTTCCAAAAAGTCAGAATAAGCAGTAGGGATAAATTCTGGTCCCACAGAAAGTGACCACAGAGTCTGCCTCAGCTATACAACTGTCACCCACATTTAGAGTGCCTATTTTGGTCCTAGTTAGAAGGACCCATCCTTCCCTTTCCGGCCAGAGTTGGTGAGCACCCATTAGCTCTGGTAAGATGTCTCAGTGGGTATCCCCATCATGGTCTTGACCTCTTTGCTCATATTCTCACTCCAGTGCCACTCTTGGACTGGACTTTGGGAGCTCAGCCCAGTGTTCCAATGCAGGTATCTGACTCTGCTTCTATCTCATCAGTTATGGTGATATTTAAGATAGTCATCAGTCTGACTACAGGGCAAGGCTAGTTTGTGCATCTTCTCCACTATTGCTTAGGGTCTTAACTGGGGTCATCCTTGTGATGATTCCTGGGAATTTCTCTAGTGCCAAATTTCTTGTTAGCCCCATAATGGGTCCCTCAATTGAGATATCTCTTTCCTTGCTGTCTCTGTTCTTCCCCCATCTTGACTATCCCATTCCCTCAAGTTCTCCTCCCCTTTCCTCTCCTCCTCTGCTCCTCTCCTTTTGGGTTACATGGTCTAAGTTGATGAGGAAGACTGATTCAGCTAGTGCAAGTAGCAAGGCTTCTGGGAAGGCAGGACAGAAATTGCATATAAGAACAGTTTCCTTTTTTGAGAGAAGTAGCAAGGGGCTGATGAAGGGAGGGAGGGAAGAAAAGAGAAAGGCAAGGAGGCAAGGAGGGAAGGAAGCAGAGGGAATGAGTAGAGAGCAAGGGTGGATTATAAAAGTGAAGCATAATTCATTTTGACCTTTTCTTCTCCAACCTCTAGCCACTTGGCATGTGGACCAATTACAGGTAGCTCCCAAGTCAAGAGAGGCCATTCTTGGCACCTCCATTGGAGTGCCTTCTGCAGGTGGTGCTAGGCTAGAACACCTTGGTATGGTTAGGGTAGGCAGGGGAGAGAAGCAGTCAACTGAAGCCCCACTTTCCAATTCTCCAGAAGCGTAGAGAACCACTGGGCTCCTTGAATGAGAGATGCCATCTGCCTACATAGGCAGAAGAAGATGCTCACAGATCCCTGTACCTCTAGGACAAAATGAAAGTTCACCCATTGAGAAATATCTCCAGGTTTGAGGAAAATGATAAAGAAGGGACAGAAGACCATTAGACAGAGACCCAGTGAAAGACCCCTGAGATTCAGTAAAAGAAGACCTCATTAGTGACAACCCTGAGACCTCAGACATCTTGGACATGAGGTCCACTGGGAGAAAGCAGACAAACTCTTTAAGAAAAGAAAAAGGAGGAATTGATGGGTGAAAAAGTGGTTGGGGTGAGACTATAAGGTTACCCTGCTGTATACACTGAGCTCTTGTTCTGTGCCATAAAGAGACCAACGGAGGTGCAGCATGGTTGTAAAAGAAAAGTAATTTTCTCAGATCTATCTTGATGTTTTAAAACTGGGCAGTTCAAAAGCTCTTCCCATCAGCCCATGCCCAGTAGAGTCTCTGTGCATTTGGGTCTCCAGATAAAGGAGACCCAGCTCATAATAGGGATATTTGAAGGTTACAACCTCTATCTTTGGTTAAAGGAGTGAGAAGCATGGAGAGCCAGTTTATTAAGATCAGTCCAAAGGGAAGAAGAAGCTTCACACTCCTTCATCCTTTTTTTCTGTGTCCTGGTAGACATTGTTAAATTGACTGCTTTCTTTTAGAATCAGTTCTCCCACAGGTAAGGGCCATCTGTGATGATGCCTTCTAACCCCCAAATGTATCAATAACTACTATTTCAGGCTGGGTCCTGTTCACCAGAGAATGACTTCTCACTCTTGTCTTTTCCTTTTCAGGCCCTACCCTCCAGAGTTACAAGGTGTGGAATGATGTCCGCATGGCCCTGGCTGGGGTAGTCTTGCTGGTCCTGGGGGCAATCATTGGAGAAGCTTGGTACAACCAATAAAAGTATATGGATAGCTCCAGAACCCCAGGAGGATACAACCAAGGGGACTGAGTTTCATCTTTGTGTCCAAGAAAACCATATTGGCCTACGAGCTCCATGGATTTAGACCCTGTTGTCAGAAAATAGTCTCCAATTCTGATGACACATGCTATTCTTTATTTAGAGTCAGAAATTTGTCTTGATGATTTTATTAAACACATGATTACACAGTCAGGCTCCTCTCTGCACCTTCTTCCTGGGTCTTTCTTGCCCTCTAGCTCTTTTTCCATCCATTAACTTTCTGCCTATGTTGGCCCTTAAAGATAAAGTGAGGTTCATGCTATATATGGATTTTACTATTTAAAACCTGTGTGTTTGACTCCTCCATTGCTTGTGGGAGTGCAAACTTGTACAATCACTTAGGAAATCAGTGTGGCAGTTTCTCAGAACAATTAGGAATCGATCTACTTCAGGGTACAGCTATATCATTCTTGGATGTCTCTCAACACATGAATGAATGAATAAAGAAAATGTGGTACATTTAAGTAATGGTGTATTACCCAACTGTTAAAAACAATGACACCAGGAAATTTTAAGATAAACGGATAGAACCAGAAAAATATCATCCTGAGTGAAAGAAACCAGACCCATAAAGACAAACACAGTATGTACTCACTCATGAGTGGATAGTAACTGTAATATAAAGGATAACCTTGCTACAAACTACAGACCCAGAGAGATAAGGTAACAGGGAAGGCCCAAAGGGGATGTGTGAATCTCCCTGGGATGGGGGAAAAGAAGAGGTGTCCTGGACAGATTGAGGGCAGATGGGAATGGGAACTTGAGGTATCAGGCTGTGGGTAGGTGGAAGGGAAGAGTACTGAAAGAGATGTTTGGAAATGAGGAATTTTTAGGTTCAGGTGGAAACTTGATGCAAGACAGACTCCCAGGAATCTACATGGATGATCCCAGCAATAGAAGAGAGGATGCCCAGTCATCAGATTGGTGAATACCACAATTATTTTGTCAGTCTATCTTCATTCATTAAATGATGGAAACAGTTGCAGGGACTCACAACCAAACATTATGCCAAGCATGGAAAATCCAGCTGAAAGGAGGGAGGAAGAAATATAGGAGCCAAGGGAGTCATGTGCATCATAAGAAAATCCAGGGAAACAATTAGCCTGGCTTATAGGCACTCACAGATTCTGAACTAGCACTAGGGAGCTTGCATAGGATCAACCTATGCCCTCCACATGTATGTGACAGTTGTGTAGCTTGGTCTATTTGCAGTACTCCTAACAATGGAAATAGGGGCTGTCCCCAGCCTATTTTCAACAATCTAAATACAAATACAATCTAAATACAAAGAAAGGAGCTTAGTCTTAGGGCAACTTGATATGTCATGCTTTATTGATAACTATAAGAGGCTAGCCCCCTTTTGGACAGAAACATAGGTAGAGTGGATTGGAGGGGTGGAGGAGAGATAGAGGGAGGGATAGCAGGAGAGGAGGGACAAAGAACTACAGGTAAAGAAAAACAGCTGAGAGTGGGGGAAATGGTCTTCTACATGGAGGACCACACCTTTTAAAAATAAAACCCATCTGCCAAGCATGGTGGCAAACACCTTTAATCCTAGCACACAAGAGTCAAAAATAGGCAGATCTCTGTGTATTCGAGGCTATCCAGAGCCAAATAGTGAGTTCCAGGAAACCAGGACTACACAGAGAGGCTCTTTAAAAAAGAAAAGAAATACCACACTCAAAATGGAAAAACCCATCTGTTAGTGTGGGTAAGTTTAAGTATCAACTCACCCTTTTTTTTTTTTGCCAAGCATTTGGGATTGTCCTCTTATACTTGAAGGGAATCAAGAACTTAACTCTCTAAATTGGTAGCATAGGGATCATGGAAGAGAGTAGAAGGGGAGGGGAGGGGAAGGAAGTGGAGCAGAGAAAAATATATATCCCCCCAAAAAAATTTAAAAGCTTTAAACATAACTTTGAGCAGAGTCTGATACAATGGGAAACCCATAACTGGTGTTGCTGCTTGTCCATTAATACATTTATCTCGATATCTGGGGCCAATATGTGAAGCTGCTTCAAATTTATGAATAATGATGGTTTGCCAGATCATTATAATGTACTGCAATATGGCAGATGTAAAAATAGCCTCTATAGTGAATGTTTTCAATAGATCACATCTTAAGACAGGTGTCTGCCACATGGGAGAGAGGAAAAAGAATCGTTTTTCCTACAAGGTCAGCAGAGGCAGCACAGTTACAGCACTCCATACCCAATAAGACAAAACTCACCATGGAACTTTTGCTACAAGCGAAAAAAGCAACTTTTTTGACCAAGCAGAAACCTTGGTATATTGCAAGGTATTTAGCAATATAGAAAATAGGAACAACTCAGTAAATATATTTTTACAAAGGAAAAAAAAAGAACTTAACTCTCATGTTAGAATATACTCTGAAACTGCCATCGCCTGTCTTAGCAATTGTAACTCCCATGATTACTTGATGGCTTTTATTGTGATATTATGAATTTTATCTTCCCATAGCTTTGATTTAAAAGTATTTTAAATGTTATCAGTATCACATTCTGGCTTCTGCTTGGTTTTACTTGAATAAAATACCTTTTGTGATCCTGGTGTGGGAGGCTTTTCTGTCTATGTGTTGCTTTTATTGGTTAATGAATAAAGAACTGCTTTGAGCCTATGGCAAGGGCAGAACAGAACTAGGCAGGAAAATCTAGGCTGTATGCTGGGAGAAAGAAGGGTGGAGTCAGAGAGAAGCCATGGAGCTACCCGAGACAGACACTGAGAACTTTACCAGGTAAACCACAGCCACATGGTGATACCCAGATGAATAGAAATGGGTTAAATTCATATGTAAGAGTTAGCCAATATAAAGATAGAGCTAATGGGCCAAGCAGTAATTTAATTGATACAGTTTGTGTGTGATTATTTCAGGTCTAAGCTAGCTGGGCGGCCAGGAACCAACAAGCAGCCTCCACTACAGGATCCCTTTCTGCTTGGTTCATTGTTCAGGGTAAAGAGAGTCTCTCATCTCTTATATCTAACTGAGTCTTTAAATACATTTATACCCTCTCTTGCTTTTGGGTTCATGACTCAATTAATTTACCTCTATAATAATTATTAAGGTGCTTGAGAGATGGCTAAATTTTTAAGAATACTGGGTACTTTCTCAGAGTATATGGGGTTTGATTCTCAGGACATCAAAGGCAGCTTAAACCTTTCTGTAACCCTAGTTCCATGGATGTGGTGCCCTCCTCTTGTCTCAATAGACACGAGGCACATATGTGGTTTATAGAAAAACATGTAGACAAAACACACATATGTGCAATACATTAAAAATTAAATTGAATAAAAAATGTCTGTTGGTAGGCTGGTATGGTGTTCTAGTGGTTAAGTACACTTGTTGCTCTTCAAGAGGACTTGAGTTGGGTTCCTAGCACCCATGTCATGTTGCTAACCATTGTCTTTAGCTACAGTTTCATAGGGATTTGATATTCTTTTTGTCTTGAAGGCCATGTGGACACCTGGAATCTGTGATTGGTATCTGAGTGCCATACTGCCTCTAGGGAGGTGCCAATCTGAATGGATTTCACTGCCACCTGGGACAATAGTAACATTCAGACCTGGTTGTTGCTGAGAACCTTGTCTGGGTCTGTGGTCCTATGGCAGCTGGGGACTGTGTTGAAGTCTGAGGCCTGTCTTGCAACCAAAGGTCGTACAGAAGCCCGGAGTTGGGACTGCAACCTGTGGCCTTCTTGATGTCCAGGAGCCATCCTGATCTGAGTTGTTAGTGCTTCTACCTGGAACAATAATGTTGCTGGGGCCTAGCTGCAGCTGAACACCATTTCTGTGTCTCTGGTCTAGCTTCAGCTGGGGTCTTTGTTGATATCTGTGGCCTGTGTCGCCTCAGGGGGCCATAGAAACCATGTGTCATGAATCAGTGGCCATGCTTAGCCAGTCTGCCCTTCATTGGCCCTGTGAAAGCTAGCCCCGCCTTCCTGGACACTGCAGTAATAGAGTTGACCCTGATCCTCACTCAAGAACTGGTCCCTGCACTTGTGAGAGATGGCCCCACCCCTTATCTCAGCTGAAAGAGAACTGACCCTGATGGTATTGGCTCCACTATGAGGTTTCCTGCCCCAGCATCTCAGATTGACCAGCTGGGCTGATACCCAGGCCCTGTGTGGATTCCCACAGCTGCCCTGAGTCACAGAGATGCTCCAGCTATTGTTGCACAGGACCAGCCCCTTCACAATCTCCAGCACATCCTAGATGTGGTACAGTGATGATGGTGTATCAGAAACCAGAGGCTAAAAAAAAAAAAAAGAAAAGAAAAAGAAAAAAAAAAGAAACCAGAGGCTTTGAACCAGACCAGGGACTCATTGCAACGAACATTGCTATTAAAGCTGATTGGACAAAACCATAAACTATGTGGCACACTGCTCCCAGGTCCACCAGGATGAATGAAGAGGTGTTGGGGACGTGGGAAAGAAGAAGAAATAAAGTTTTTTTTTTGTTTTTTTGGTTTTTTTTTGTTTGTTTGCTCTGTTTTGTTTTGGTTTGATTTTTTTATGCCTGCAGGTCAGAAGAGGGCACCAGACTTCATTACAGGTGGTTGTGAGCCACCATGTGGTTGCTGGGAATTGAACTCAGGACCTTTGGAAGACCAGGCAATGCTCTTAACCACTGAGCCATCTCTCCAGCCTTGGTTTGATTTTTTAAAATAATTTCTTTTGGAAGTGCTGCAAGGGTGAGGGGTGAAAGAAGATATGAAGGGACTGGGAGAAGAGCAGAATTAGGGTACATGATGTCAAATTCCCAAAGAATCAATAAATGAATTGTGTTTTTAAAAAGGAATAGAGAAAAGAGAAGAAACTCAGGTCAAAGGTCCAGAAATTATTTTCAACAAAATCAAAGAAGAAAATTTTCCTAACCTAAAAAAGAATGTGCCTATAAAGGTGCAAGGAACATACAGAACACCAAATAGACTGGACCAGAAAGCAAAATCCCCTTAGCACATAATAATCAAGACAATAAATGTAGAGAAAATAAAGAATATTAAAAAGCATTAAGGGGAAAAGACCAAGTAACATATAAACACAGGCCTATTAGACTAACACTTGACTTCTCAATGGAAATTGTAAAACCCAGAAGGACCTGGACAGGTGTGTTGCAGATTCTAAGAGACCACAGAT